CAACCTAAGTCATAAAAGTGTGTCCTGGGGAGCAGCCCAAGCATGTAGAGCAATGGAGGGATGACGCGACATTGTGGTGAGAGTGAATTCCAAGTTCGGACACACATGCCCACAGTGCTGGATTCCGGCCATGACTATTTTTAAGTTCTGCACATCCCCCCACTCTGCCCCTCAATCAAATCCTAGACTAGAGCTTTTGGTAAAATTTGAAGTTCGAACTGCTCGTGTGCCTTTGACTTGCCAGCTGATATAAGCTCATTCCAAAGAGGCAAGAATGGCTGCAGACCACCAATCCCCGAAGTGCTGTCATGTACCCGTAGAAATAGCTGGAGATAATATGAATGTCATCTAGGGCTATGCAAACACGCTCCAGAACATAAGTCATGAAGGAAACAAGGCAGAACACTGTCAGATGAGTTTTTGACCCTCTGGGCTAGACAGGCCTGTCGGGGCTACATTGGGTGATGGGCATGCAACAGGGAGGATAAACAAAGTCGATCAACACGTGTTAAGTGTTTCCACGTGGTCAGCAACTGTTGGGGTTTCAAATCTGCACCCATGCATCACACATACTGAGAACTTCTTAGCTCTAAACCACCATGCCGCCTGCTAGAGGAACGAAACACCACCGAAGACCACCATTGCCTCGTGATCTGGAAGGATCGGAGCTGTTTGTCATTGAAGACGACTATCCTGCACCTTCTTCAGTAAATCGTGGGAAGGGTAAACGACATATGCCACTCAGGGACATCATTGAAATTTCATCAGACAAAGAAGACACAAGTTCTAAAGCTTTGTGTATGAAAATTTTGGAATTGCAGGCCTTTGTCAAGAAGCTTAAAAAGGTAAAATTGGTGACATGTGTTGAACTCCTCTGTTTAATTTATTCTCTAGGAGATGACAAAAGCGAAATGTTCACAGACAGAAGCTGAGAAATGAGCTGAATGTGCTGAAGAAGCACTGAAGATTTCTCAGGCAAGTGTCACTGGGCAATTTCAATCTAGTGAAATGATTGTGAGGTTCTTTTCTGGACCGCAATGACGCCTTGACTGACCCATAGATAGAATCTCTTAAAACTGGAACCCGATATTACATGTGGCACGTGTGCCTCACTGATGTGGTCACCTTACCTGTAAGCACCACCTAGTTATGCTGAAAAATATGTCCATCCAAACCAGGTTACCAGGTTGCCTGAATGCGGGCATATTTTCTGTGAAAGTTGCCTACTAACATGGTTCGATACCATTGACAAACATTATTGGCAGCAGCACCCCCATTACCATCGTGATCAACCTATCCTGCTCCCCTCTTTTCTCCAGGAAGCAATGTCCTATCCCCAGATCGAACCCCACGAACTCCTGCAGTTGATCAAACAGATAACACTTGAATCTAACAGGCCAGTCTTTACCTGTCCCAACTGCTGTGAAAAGGTGAAGAACCGACCAGTGAAAGTCTTTCCGATGAAGTCTCTCGTCCGAACAGTTGCTGCTGCTCTGTGTGAGAATAGCCCTGCATCTGATGGCAAAGAACTTTATAAGAATCCCTGAGAAAAAGGGCCATGGGATAGATTCTTTCTTCATTTATAATTATGAATGAGTATATTTGGTGATGTCTCAGTGCCTTTTTTTCCAAATTACTTTATGAATCTTGATAGCACTTAACCATTTATATACAATTCATTATCTTTTGAATATCTAGTGTCAATTGGGTGATTTCAGATGAAGCAGTATCCGGGGTGAAAATCCCAGCTCTTTTTTGTAATTTCCCAATGATAGAGTAATTTTGTGAACAGTTTATCACTGTAACACCACCAAAAAAAAAGGAAAAGCAGTATCTGTGGTCAAGGGAAAACGACGAGCCAGCAAAGAGGCAAGATATTGATTCTGCAGAGGCTCAACATCGACTCAAAAGAACTTAACAGTCAGTCCTAACAGGGACTCATCATTGAGCATACACGACTGTGGTATCAGTGGGATTAGAACACTGGAGCAAGATAGGGCGTGCAGTGAATGACAATGCAAAAGGGCAGTTAACTGTCGGACCAGGGCATTGAACTTTGCTAACAACTCAGTGAGGAGTGTGGATGTAACTCAAAAAAATTTAGTATATTACTAATATTTATGAGCTACTCTGTACATAATAGTGAGACTAAACATTGAGAACTGAAGCTTGTAGCAGCCGTGCACACTTGTTCCCAATAAGGTGGGTTCCCATGCCCAGTCAAGTGCCACAGTGACCTTGCCAAACATGCAGACCTACAATTTGAGGGTGGCAGATCACAGCAGTGGCAGCAGAAAACCTCAGTTTTTAGGATCTTCTATTTAAATCTAGTACTCTTACCTTCAGTTACATCTTTATACTGTTATAAACATCTCATTTATGATTTGTGGTGATGAGCCTCCAGGCTCTGTATGCTCAGAATTTGTGGATTTTACCAGATATTTAATTCCCCAGCCACCACACAAACCTACTGTTTCAATCCTGGCAATATTGCTTAATGCCGCCAATTATCCTTCCCCACTTGTACCCCACATCAATTACATGCCCCTTTCATTAATTCCGCCAGTCTTCTTTCATTAATTCCGCCAGGCACCTGATTGTCAATCTCATGGAATTAGAATCCCATCTGATTGCCTAGCACAGCCGCAATTCCGCAGCACAGCCACAATTCTGCAGCTCAAATAGCAATTCCGTGGCATTAGCTCTAATGCTGTGACCTTTCCTCAGTCTTTACTAAGGCTGTTATACCGCCAAGAGATTGCCACAAGCATCTACTTCAGTACACTTGCTTCAATGTACTTTGCCACAGCAACACAGCAGCTCAAAATTCCGGAGATCGGTGGCATTCTTGCTAATCACTTCATCTATATGTGGTAAAGCCATATGGGTGCTGTTACTTTTGAACCCCAGTACACAGTAAAACCGTATGGATGCTGTTACTTTAGAACCTTGGGAACATGTGTTTGGTATCATTTCTTACTAATCTATGTACTACGGACTTACTAAGGACCTGCTTCAAGTATTCTAAATTTATTCTGGACTTGTAGTATAAAAGCTAGTATACACCATGGAAAATAGGGAGTTGCTAGCTAGAAGTTACTGGACATTAGCCATCATCCACGTTATCGACCACCGTTATTGCTTGTACTCGCTAGGAGATAGACAATAACAACATAGTCACTCCAAGTTATACTCTCTGTCATGGCTTTTCTTCTAACAGTATTGGTGTATGCTCATATTGTGCCAATACACGGAATTTGGTGTCCACAACTCGCTTTTATCTTTTAATCCGCCAGCATCGTTTCACTTTCACCAGCCAGCATCGTTTTCATCAGTTTTCACCTTCTACGTCGCCATCATTTTACCCAGTTCAGTTCAGGATCGTTACGTTCCTGTGTGGACTCAGATTAGGATCGTTATTGCCGCCAGCAGCATCTGTCACGGAATTTTGGTCAACAGCTTCAGTATAGGATCATCAGTCATGGTATTTGGTATCTTGCCGTCAGTTTCAGTATAGGATAGTCTCCATGTAGACTCAGGATTAGTATCAGTTTCATTTTGCTGTCGTTAACCTCAGTATAGTTTCAGTTTCAGTCCAGTCCAGTCCCAGCCATCGTTTTGCCGTTACTAGTTCCCCCTCATATCATCGCCAGTTTGTCTTATCTTCGTTTTACTGCCAGTTTCTCATTTCTTGACTACAGTCTTCATCTCTTGCCATCACGGTATTTGTTATCTTGCCAACGGTATTGCTCTTTGACGGCATTTTCTCTAATTTCGTCAACATCGCCCATGGCTTTTACTAGTTAAATTGCCGTCACTTCATTCACAGTTTGCCGGTATTCCCAGTTATACTGGATTCCGTTCCTTCTCGACTATTGAGACCCTTCCCGGCTTACAGCCAATGTTTTCTAGTACTCGATCGTTAAGGGTACTACTTCGCTGACTGAAAAGTCGCAGTGTATACTTGCATTCTTGAGGAATTCATCGCACGGAGGTGCACCGAAACACTCGCACAACAACAAAGCCTTTATTGCTGCTACACACCATTTGCCATGAACTCCTCTAGAGTTTTGGTTTTTGCCATTGCCATAGAAGTTTAGGCTCATCAGCAGTGTGTTAAATTTATGCCAAATCATGAAGAAAAAGTGTCAGAGCGATGCCGAGGCTATCTTGCCATGGGCTCGGCAAGATCAATGATGTCATTATTCCCTATTCGAATTGGCCAGCTCAAATGGCTGGAAGGCATGGTGCTCACCAGAAAAGGTAATGATCTACCAGTGGCGCTCTGCTACCCCTAGTCAGTCAATGTGCTTCAAGGTCTCTAAATCATGTCGTACTCTTGGTAACCACCACATGTGCTCTGCATTCCACTAGGTGCATCAAAGTTAGCAGACGTCTGTTCACGAAATATTTGAAGCCTGATAAATCAATTGCGAATGGCCCAAGAATTGATTGATCACACCATGAGAGTGATCGAAGTGTGGTTTTCCAGATGGTAGTGAATTCCATTGAAAAACTTGCGCCGCAGCTTTCTGTGGATCTGTGGATCAGAATGCATATATTGCTTGTCCATCATCTTACTAATGGACACAAAAAGGATGGTAGAAAATCACCTCGAGTCCCGCTCAGCACCGAAAGGCAGTGCCTGGTCATGTGGCCATAGTACTTAGTCAACCACAGCATGATATCAGCGTCTCTTATCTTCCCCTCATCTCCACCACAAGATGACCTCTGTCATTGGAAGCGACCGTTATGCTTATCGCCCAACCATCGCATATTCTGCTCCTGCTGCTCATTCTTGAGCTGAGGACCCTGCTAAAACCAATGCAGCAAAGAGTCCCACCATTACTGGGATGAAAAGCATCTGAGAGGATCTTCAGACGCTCACGCTCACTCCGCAACCCCTTGCCAGGTCCCCTCCCGATAAAGATTTGTCCTCTGAGGACAATCATATACCTGCTATACTTCGCGATGCTCCCAGCCACCTTCGCAGTTGGCTCATGGACTTGAGTAGCTGGGAACATGATAAAATTTATATGACAGTGGTTAACGAGGAGGACAAATTGTGGGTTGAAGAGCATTACAAAGAAGTCGTCGAGGCCATGCCTGTTCGGTGCACTGTTATGAGGATCAGCTTTATTTTGAGTATTGACTATGGCGTCTTAGGCTCGAATTGTGGGAAAACAATATAATTCTACAAATCCCTTCTTAAATCCATCAGTTTGCTGGTCAGGTCATCAAGGAGGCGATGGACAAATATAAATCTGGCACCCACTCCATCACAATTATGGAAACTGCTGATGTCCCTCTTCGCAACAAGCATTGGAAGCAGTGTGACATCCAAATCACCGACTTAGGGCCTCTGGCTGAAGGCACCAGCCCGGCCCTCTGAAAGGCTTACTCGTACCCTACTGTAGTTGTGGAAGTAGGGTTCTCTGAATCTGCTGCAGATGTAGATTTCGATATTGCGTGAGCTTTGTGCTTGATGGAGGGGAAGCTGTGGCTCGGCATTGCATTAAAAATTAGCAAAGGCCAAAACCCTGTCCTCACTGTCACCATCTTTGTGTTTGCACCAGGCTTGATGTCAGAAGACGAGGTTGCGGAGGCGAGGCTCGAACCCGGTCGAGTGTATGGCTGACACAAGGGGCGTTGGGTCCCTGCTGTTTATCAGGACCACAGGCGCTACAATAATTTCCTGGCCATCGGGGCGAAGACAATTGAAGAAGATGGGAAATGGGGCAAACCGGCTTACTATTGTCTGCAAGATGATAGCTGGGAAGTAAGTTCCATATATTTGCCTGCATGAGTTCATTACTGAGTTCTCCTAGATTACACGGGATGTGCATGACCATGAGCAAGATATTATCATAAAGGAAGGGTATTTTAAGTGTGTTTTGATGGACTTTGAAGCTCCTGCTCTGACGATCCCTGCGAAAAAACTATGGGAAAACTTGTTGAAGTGCAAAGAAGTCACAGGATTGTTCAAAGGTGACATGGATCTTATCAAAAAAAATGGTACCACCGGGGATCCCCAAGCAGAGGATTCCAAGACACTTGCAAGTACATCGTGGCAGTGGCGACTTACGGAGGCTGATTTGGATGCTCCTGTTGGGAAGAAGTTGAAGCGAGGGCACTGATGTGATAATGGTGTGGCTATTGAAGGAATTAAAATTTGGTGTGTTAATTAATTAGCATCCACACTTCACCTAAGGCGGAACTAACACTGCCACATCTCAGCTTAAAGCCACTTGAGCCAGCAAGGATCATTACCTTTTCTAGCGAGCACAGGTATTGCTGATCAACTGCTGGAGGGATTGAAAGTGCGACTAAAAATGTCGACCTGTTGTGCTTTTGTCACTCTTCAGCCATTCCTCTTCAGAATATGTATACTGCCCCTTTATATCCTATATTTTCATTTTACCAAGTCCTGGATTTTTCGTGATAGGTAATTGCGAGCGCAGCAAGTAGAATTGGCTGGCATGTGAGAAACCCATCCAGCATCAATAGCTTTTTATGGCATCCTTTCCATTCTTTCCTCTAGTCCCATCTCTTTCATTTCTTATCCTGCCCGTCTGTAACATGAGATTATTGCTTTTACACATATAAAGAATGACTTTGCTGCTTTTCAACAGGTGAAAATGAGTATGTTGTCATATTTCTGTTTACCCACTGAGGTGCCTTGCACCTTACTGGTCGTCTCTTCCATGGTTCCACAGTCGGTATCCTGTTGTCTTCTGAGCATCATGCTTCCCATTCTAAGTACTATGTCTTTGGCACATTCTTGTCACATTTGCCAGATGCGTCCTTGAGATTTAAGACCTAGAATGTGAATGATTTTGCTGCGCTTGCAAAAGGTAGGTACTCCCATGGTCCATAGTAGTGGTTTTTCGTATTAATGTGACGATGGTTGACTGGGACACCCCCTGTGTGGCTTTGAGATCAATTGTTGTTCAGCTTGACCTATGAAGCTTGAAGCTTGATTCATTGATGGCAAAAGTACACAGGACAGATGAGAATTTGAGGGATATCTGAATGCCCACAATAGGGTTACATTTTGGGATGTCGGACTAAGATCTTGCCAGAAAATTTACACAAAATTTGGGTATTCCCAACTTTATCTCTGGCGAGCGGCATGGATTTAGATCCTCTGTTGACCGGTACACCTATACCTCTTGTTTATCAACTCGGTGTTTGACTGCAGCTCCATTATATCCACTTATATGCTGCATACCTTTCTCTTTCCTTAGTTATCTTTTACGTTCCCTTGATGCTAAGTACGCCTTTTTTATTTCACTACCTACAAACGTACACTTTCAGACTACTATGTAGACTGACCGTGTCCATACTTGTTAGGTTCACTGGTCATCATCCTCCAAAATGGGAAGTTAGCTGAACCCCTAACGAATTCGTAAAATGTTACATTCATGCTCAAAATTCAGGTTTGCCAAAGAATTTTGATCTTCCCGGTGCACTGATTGTAATGGATGTGAATGGCATCATTCATTTGAGCTTTGTTTACCTATCCTTTCAGACAGCTAGGATTTCTACTACCATGTCATTTTTGGGTTTTTCATGCTCTGCCTAAGTTACATTGACTCGGCTGATGCTTTCTTGACGCATTGCACGATCTTACATCGGCACCTCAACTGGCCCTAGTTTCTGCGGTCTTGACACTTTGCTTTTGACAAGACTGTGCTTGTTTGACTTCTGAACCGGTGTTGTGCAGGTCGCGTGACCATCACCGAAGTCATCACAGTCAGGGTCATTGGATGGCTTTGACTTTCACCCCAGAGACCGGAATGCTGAGGCCATGGTGCCTATGCTGGTCACGCTGACAAATCAGACAAATTAGTCCCAGGCTACCGTATCTGTGTGACCGGCGACTTTGACCTCTGCGTACTGGTGCTTCTGCCGCCTCATAGTACATTTCTTCTGCCGATATCCCCTAGCAATAATCATAGTAGTGAAATAAATATATCTCTTTCTCCAATCTTTCATGTCAAAAGATGCTAACACCAGGCTAAAATCTGTGATGGATATTCTCAATTCTGCATCATCACCAAAGTCCCCCCTTCCCTCCATAAAAAAACTGTGCATTTCTTAGCTACGTCTCACTTCAATTAGGAAACTTGAGCTGAAATATGTACCACCCCTGTTTGCGAACACAAGAACATGTATAAATTTGGAAAAACATATTTGTAAAGGCTAACTATGAGGACTCAAAAGGCTATGTCCATCAACCCAAAGTACAGGTCCCAAATGAATCCAGCCACCTCTTCTGGAATACTCTCCTCCATGGCTTCAATAAAGTCATCCCTTGTATCAGCCTCTTCAAGATGTCTTGATACGTATCGCTTCGAGTACTGGTATACCTCCAGATATCTTGCAAGTAACTTGGGAAGACGTAGTGGTGACACGGATCTTGGCCTGGAGGGCCCCGCTTAGCCGAGGCTTACTGGAGTCCTTGGTGAGCTGTGTGATGCTACGGAATTCAGGGAGGGTGAGTTACTTTTAGAACAACACTCACTGGGAAATGAAAATATGTCCCCATTGCCAACACTATTAACGGTCACATTCGAAGTGAGGTAGTTGCCATGATCTCATTTGAATAAGTAAAGTTGAAGGGAAATCCTTGATAAATTACTTACGAGTTTTCCTTGGTGACGACTCAGGAATGTGCGCCTTCCCTTTCTGCTTCAAAGGGGTCCCCACTGGAGATGCTGTGGGTGAAGCTATGGTGGGTGTAGGGCGGGGAACTCGACTGCCGGCATGAAATGGTGAAGTCGTTGTGTTGGCCAGGTATTGATCTATGCATCCATACACAGTTGCACCGCGACTCATCTGACAGATTAGCGCATTTTCAATTTTATCGAAGCCGTGGGCCCTGTGATATGTTGGGTTTGACCGATCGACTTGGTCCATAGCATGTTCTCTATGTCAAAAGTATGGTGAGTTTGATTCTGAAAAAGATCAAAAGACACACCAGTGATAGAAGATGCCTGCCCTTGCGCCATATATGATGGCCCAGAAGGTGGCCCCATCATTGTCGAACATTGCAGTGATCCTGGGCCATTCTTGCCACTCATGCAAAGATGCTCTGAAAGTTACATTGTCCTCTTGGCCATGATACACCAGGAATGGATTCAAATGTGTGTTCAACACCAATGCCTGATCCTTTCTTTTGCAGTAAACCATGACTGGCCACTTAGCGCTGGTAGTACCATTCAGAATCCACACCCTTCCAGATCATTTAATACAGTTCTGCTTAAGAAAGTGAATGACTTACAGTTGGTTCTCATAGACTCCCGGACTGACACCGGATACATTAGGGGGAGAAAGAACAGTGCACCATGGTATTGTGTGGACCATCACAAGTGGAAGGGATTGACAATGCATCAGACTATGTTTTTTTAAAATGGGGTGATTCTTGGAAAACAAAATATCACCATGATTCTGCCCAAAATAAGGGAAGAAAATCCTGAAGTCTGTATTCTTCTGTTGGCATCATTACCATGAAGTCGTGCATATGTTCTTTGAATTCTTCTGTTTCATAAGTATCACCTGGGTTCTCATGTCACGTTCTACTCGCAGCACACTCATCTCAAAGAAGGGGCTTCCAAGATGGAAACCTATAATGCCGAAGCACCTTAGTAACTTTGGGTGGGCCTTTGATCCTCGTTTACTTATGTACTCAGATATTTGCATTCCCAAACCTAAATAGTTTTTTTTTTGGCTAAATGTTCTCACAGGCCATCCAGCTCAATGGCCAATGGCCAGAAAAGGAAACGGAACCTAGCAAAGACCGATTGTCTTGAAGACTGATTGTTCTGTTTTGAAATCGTCATTAGTTACTATGTTTGCTTTGAAATATCACCTTTTCCATTGGGCACGGTTTTATTGTGTTTTTGACACAATGTTTATGTAAATACAAGAATGAACCGCATCGCTGGTTCTTAAACAACTCATAAAATCCATCCTGTGGTGCAGTGGCTCTCCTCTGAAGACATTTTTGGTATGAAGGGCCTAGTACCTTTGGGTGGGCCTTTGATCCCCGTTTACTTATTACATGTATATTTGCATTCCCAAACCTAAATAGTTTTTTTTGGTTAAATGTTCTCATGGGCCATCCAGCTCGATGGCCAATGGCCAGAAAAGGAAATGGAACCTAGCAAAGTCCGATTGTCTTAGAGACCAATTGTTCTGTTTTGAAATCGTCATTAGTTAACATGTTCGCTTGAAAAATCATTTCAAGCTGGCATGGTTTTACAGCTGTTCCGGAAAATAATGAGAATCATGTGAGAACAATGTGCGCCCAAATTTGACGTATTTACTACATTTGGTAAATAAATATTGGCCCTTCTCCTCAACGTACACCTTGGCTTGATGTTCGCATCCTCTGTCAAGTTGTTTTTCAGAAGTCAGCAACCATTTCAAAGTGGTCAATAATGAATTTGGCCTGTTTTAGTCAATGGATGAGTGACTGAGTCTCGGGATAACTCTGATAACCCTTAGGTACGTGCTTGCTTCGGCAATTATCAGAACATATAGACACTCTTGTAGACCTTGCCATTGCCTGAATACATGCTGTCAAACTCTGGTACCTCTCATCAGTAAACAGGAAGTATGACAGATGCTGAGGTGGCTCCGCTGTGTTGCCGGAAGCTACGGGTATATCCCTTCCCATCTGAACAGAGACAATGATTAGATGTTATATCATTATAGTATTTGTTGTAAAATTTCAAGAATGGACCTCAGAGGCCTAACATGAGCGAGTTATACAGGTGTACATTGCGAAGAAGGGCCAATATTTATTTACCAAATGTAGTAAATACGTCAAATTTGGGTGCACATTGTTCTCACATGATTCTCATTATTTTCCGGAACAGCTGTAAAACCATGCCAGCTTGAAATGATTTTTCAAGCGAACATGTTAACTAATGACGATTTCAAAACAGAACAATTGGTCTCTAAGACAATCGGACTTTGCTAGGTTCCATTTCCTTTTCTGGCCATTGGCCATCGAGCTGGATGGCCCATGAGAACATTTAACCAAAAAAAACTATTTAGGTTTGGGAATGCAAATATACATGTAATAAGTAAACGGGGATCAAAGGCCCACCCAAAGGTACTAGGCCCTTCATACCAAAAATGTCTTCAGAGGAGAGCCACTGCACCACAGGATGGATTTTATGAGTTGTTTAAGAACCAGCGATGCGGTTCATTCTTGTATTTACATAAACATTGTGTCAAAAACACAATAAAACCGTGCCCAATGGAAAAGGTGATATTTCAAAGCAAACATAGTAACTAATGACGATTTCAAAACAGAACAATCAGTCTTCAAGACAATCGGTCTTTGCTAGGTTCCGTTTCCTTTTCTGGCCATTGGCCATTGAGCTGGATGGCCTGTGAGAACATTTAGCCAAAAAAAAAAACTATTTAGGTTTCAGAATGCAAATATCTGAGTACATAAGTAAACGAGGATCAAAGGCCCGCCCAAAGTTACTGACTTCAGCCACCTTTCAAGTCAGACAGAAACGGGGGTTCATAAACATAGTTACGAACAAACTTCTATCAAGAATAGTACTATGTATGTTCAAAACTCTTGTAAGCAGAACCAAGTGCACCACTCGTTACAATGGTGCCTTTGCGGGAATTGCTCGAGGGAACCATCCACGTTTCCTTCACCAAAGAGTTGCCATCCCAGAACACTGTAAAATGGTTAGCTTGAGTTTTATCATTTTTGCAATACATATGCAGATTTCGCCATGACTTGGGGGTCCATCAACCATTTTCCGGCGCCTGAAGATGACATTCAATAACCCATTGCTGAAAAGGAGATGTTGGAAGTACCTTGATAATCCAAGATAAAACACTTTCCCAATGTCTGAGAGTATTGGAGGTGCTGCAGGAAGCATAAAAATGTGGTGATGGCAAGATGATCTTCGGAAACATCTTTGACCAGTTCGGGGGCACCATTCAATACATACTTGACAAAGTCATCAGAATCTAGGAGTCGTTCCACCAGGACACAAAAACCCCGCCAATCCTTTAGCTTGACCGATTCTGGACAGGAAGTCAGCGAGACTGCTGCCTCAACAAAGTGGAGGTCCGAGATCGGTCCAGGTGGTGGCCCATAGGATGACACTTTGGCATGGACCAATGCAATGCTCATGTCATGAATGGCATTCACCCAGACCAAAGTATTTGTTTCCTGTAAGATGGCCATACATTCGACATCATCAGTCATCTGCTGCACCCCTTGCCTAGTCATGAGGCCAAAATACAGCTGCTTGATACAGACTTTTCCCTGCAGCGCTGCCGGAACATCAACACCCTCTAGGTTCATTCCAACCTTTAGCAGCCCAAAGTGAGCCGTTTTGAAAGAGCTGGATCTGAGTCGTTGTTCTTCACTCTCCACCCAGTCGACATAAATGTGTCCCCGTAACTGCGAAGTGAAGGTGAATTGAGGGCTGCTGAGAAGTCCAGAAATGAGTTGAGGGATCAAACAAATCTCAACCGCCTGTTCTGGTAAACCTAAAATATGTGTAGGTGATTAACGTGGATTGTTTTGGGTGTAGAACTCACCAGGATCGAAGCTGCTCTCAAGGTAAGTTCCACCAGTGTCGATAATGTCCAGAATTGCATCAAACCATTTGGTGCAGTCTGATACGTCAATGCCAGTACAAAGTTGCTTGCTGCTGGGAACGTCCATAGGAGGTGCTGGAGAAAGCTACAGAACTCAGTTAGCCTGGTAAGACTTAACTGGGAAGTCACCCACTGCCTGTTTTGAGGAACATGACCGTTCGCTATTCACCTAAAGAATGATGTTAGGTTGTGTGACAAAGAGAATGTCCTCCTCTCACTGAGATGGTCGACTGAGGTGGTCCGGAAAAAATTGAAACATAATCGATATCCGAAAGGTCATCCATCTGTTTAAAATCAATGAATATCCGAACAGAGGCATCCTAGTTAACGTACATCTGAATCAAGTTCTGGTTCTTCACGCTTCTTCCCTTTTCCATTCTTGACAGGGGATGACTTGAAAGAAATCAACGTAAATTGACACATAATGATGATAATTGTACCTTTGGAGTATCACCAGCCTCCCATTCGTCATATCTTTCAGCCGCTGCAGGGTTGAGTACCATATACCAGTTCTCAGGGGCTCCCTGAGAATATTTCAAGCCTCCGACTGGTGTGCCCTTCTTTGAGAGCCCTTTGGTTATACCTTTATAAAACAACTCTGTTGGTTTCATTAAATCTCCTTCCAGAACGGGTATCCACCCAGAGTCCACAACGAAGAAATTGTCAGTAGTGAACTTGAAGCCCTTCACTTTGTGATGGGCTTGTACTAAAACAAGCAGGCTTTCGAGCACGCATTGCATGACTTCAGTGTGGGGAGTTGGAGGAGGAAAGGTGACACCATGTTGTACGTTCTGCCAAAAGTCAAATGGTGTAACCGTGACAAAGTTACAGCTTACGTGGAAGGAGATGCCTTTCTTTGTCCCATTTTCCCTTTTGACCTGAACAAAGACCTTTGCAAGTACACCTTGACCTTCTACCGCGAGCTTGTGAAACTTGTCCTTCTCGGAATTGTAGAGATAATGAGCAGGCAAATAACCGGTTTTAAGGGCATTTTTGTTCAGCAACGATGATATCGCGACTGGCAACCTCAATTCCGGTGCAGCTCCTGTCAGAGAGTACATTCACTGAACAAGAAAAGGTCAGTAAACATTCCTACCTTTTGCTTTGGCCTTCTTGACACTTTCATCAATCGAAAGGGTGTTTGGGATGGACGCAATGACTTTCAGAATAGCGTCGGCTACTTCAAGCAGGTGAATTCCTGGAATCGTTGGAACAAGTGGTGGTGTCATCTGGCGGGCTAACAAAACCAATGAGATTTATTGCATTGTGCACGTGGATAAGACTTACAGGATGACACCACTCCATCTTTCTTCAATAGATGTCTTGTGTGCTGTGATGCAGCTTCTATAAAAGAATATTGGCTTGGAAGAGGTGAAAGCGCAAAAGGGCATACTTTTCTTTGATGCAAGCGCAGCACAGGATTTACAAGTCGTCAAGGTCAGGGTCTCAGTCCCCAGGTTCCTCAACGTAGCAGGCCCATCCTTGTGCAAACATGCCTTCATTTGAAACTTTTCCTCCCCTGGCTGAAACTTGTATGGATCACTGTTCACTTTGCGATTTTTGCAATGCTGGTATTCGCAATGATCGGAACTATCATCTAGTGTGAAGGTAAGATCAACTGGATCAACTGGGCCTGGAACGTGTCAGTACCTGCCAGCGCATTATATTGTCGAATACTTACTGGCACCCCCTAGAAGCAGTGATCGGAAATGTAAAGTTGAAAGGTTGCTCATGTTCAGAGCATCCAGCGTCTCCATGGTGGATAAAGGAAGCCATCTGCCAGGCATGTACAAATGGAATGGACTTGAAAAGATACCGTAAGCATCCTGTCTGCTGGAGACTTTCTGTCTTAGAATTTCTAAGATATCCTGGATGGATGAACTTCCATTGACAACTGGAAAAACAGTTCACCAAAGACGTGATCAATGACTTTGTAAAACTTACCGAGCGCAAAGTTCCCAGATGGACACTTTATAAAGATGGTAAAGGCAGGCAGACTGCAGAGCGACATTTTGCTAGGTTCCATAATCAGTCTCTTTGTGGGTCGAACACCTATGTGGAAGAAAGACGTTACTGAATTGCAAGGCTGGGTTTGCTAAGCATGCACAAAGAGACTTCGAGGTGATGGCTGTGAGCAGTCTGTGAGAGTGATAAAAGCCTTGAATTTCGTCAACTGAATGTCATGAAAATACTCAAAAGAGGCTTTACCTGTGAAGAGCAGAAGCACACCAACACAGCAAGACAAGAGGACGCAAGTCTCTGCTTGAGAACTGGAAGTGTTTTCACTCATGAAAGTTTGGCGGTCTCCGCAATGAAAGTGTGCTTTATATACCGGTTTTTGCGCATTGTCATACCATCTTAAAATGGTTACTTAATTATGGTAAAGACTACATTGCTGGGCCCAAATTCAACCAGTTTTTCAGCCAGAATGAAAAAATTTCATCTTTTAGGGAAAGATATTCTTGGCCCGGCGAACATTTCCACTTCATATAAAAAGACGCCGATATTTTCCATCCAAAATTGTAACGAGTGTCACCGGATATCCCAGAAAATCTTGTCCAATGATGCAGGGCCATTCATTGTGTTGGAATAACAGGACCCTAATGATGAGACAACTGTCAGTGTCTATGCATGTTTCCATTTCACATCATGGAGACCAACATGAATAAGAGATATTCCATGATTTTTCCAGATTTATGTCTGATCTAGGCCAGGACAACAAGCGATTTTTGGGTATCCACATTTATACCTGTTTCTCATCAAAATGCCCAATCAACACCTTCCACTTGGTGAGTCGTTGTAAATTATCTTTTCATTCCATTGACTGTGGTGAAGTACCAGATGAAATAATTTTGCCGAGACTGAAAGAGCTTTGGCTGATGGAGGGCAACGTAAACGATACCGTTCTGTGTGAAGAACTGCAGAAAGTTTTCAATACATCGAAGTATACCTTGGGGTATGTTGCAGTTCTCACCCGGAGGATCCGTTAATGGTTTCTTTCCAGCCTTTCCAGCTTCAAAAGAATGAGAAAAAGGCTAGGATTCCTCAGTACACGGCAGCAAAAGCATACTGTTGAGACTGTCTCGGAACATTTGGATGAAATGCGGGAGCAATTCCCTAAGGCGGGTTATTTCGAAATGAAGAAGCATCTAAGAATCAACCACAATGTGCGAGTTTCAAGGTGAGTCTTTAAATTCTTCGAATGGTACAATTCTTAATGAAAGGGACAGAGATGTAATCAAGGAATGGGTGTATTTGAAGGAACCCTCGCATGTGTCCTGAAGAATTCGAAAGGGAATCATCAGAAAAGTTTTTTATTGCGCTGGTGTCAATGACCTCTGGTGCGTCGATCAACATGACAAGTGGAAATATCACTTTGGCCTCTGCCTTCACAGTGGCACAGACCCTTTCACTGGTGTCCTGAAATGGATGTGAGTCTGGTGGAACAATTCAAATCCCATCTTAATCTGTTCATACTACCTGGATGTAGTGGAACACACCGGGTGTAGGTCTTTAAACCTTTCTGCAAGGGGTCACTATCTTACTCTTGTCCAGATGGTCCTGTTCTTACACAAAGTGATATGGGCAACGAGAATGGTAACCTGGCTAGGGCGCATAGCTTCTTGCACCAATGGGCTGACAGGGACTTGGACAATACCTTGCAGCACCGATGGATGGCAGAGAAGAAAAACATTCCTTCAGAAATCGTATGGAGTGTGTTCCGCGCTCACTTTAGCTTTGGCTATGAAGGAATCTTTCAGTTTGGCATTGAGCAAGGCTGGTATGATCCGAAGGTGCCTCTGGAAGCATACATCTCTTCTCTTTAACAGCTTCAAATTGAACTGGACTCAGCTGATTTCATAGATTGATATTCCGTTTCCTTTTTATCCCTTGGTTCCAATGAGAACTCGATTTGTATGTGATCAAAAACAACACGACAAAGAAAAGATGAAATTGCAAGGTGGCAAGACTGAACGGAGTCCCTTTACTCATTGAACAAGCTCCTGAGCGATTTGGGGCCCAGGATTTCAAGGTACGTACAAGCACCTATCATTTTTCCAAATTCAATGTTTCTTCATAGGTTGCTTTCATCCCAGAATCTATACAAGCTGCGAGGCAAATTTATGCCCCACCTGATCACCCCATGCTGCAGCTTGTCCCTAACTCATTTAGGCAGTGGGCTGAAGTATTTATGGAGGAACTTGGCCATCCAGAAGTAACCTGAGAGTGCATCTGGAATGTATACCTTGCGTTGCTGGATAAATTTCATGAACGCCATATTGTGGTTCTTGATGAATGGCACGTCATTTCTACGAGAGCATACAAAGCAGAAGAAACTGACAAGAATCAAGGAGGTCCAAAAGAGGTGGTTGGGCAAGGTCAGAATCTTTCAACTCGGACACTAAGCAATCTGATAAACTTCAATCAGACCAAGCTACAATACCTGATATTCCAGACTTGAACAGTGACGACGAACTTGGTGATGCCAATGCGGAAGATGTCGAAGCTGATGAAGAAGATGCTGAAATTTGGGTGAGGCACCTGTTATAGAGATGTCCATCCGAGAATTCTTACAGCATATGTAGTGAATGATGTTATATTTTGTTTTGCTCAGGCATATGAGACTACATTATAGGTGGTTGTCGAAGGGGACAAAGGCCACAAGCCAGTTCATCTTTGGAATTCTATTCTGGGATGTCACAGGATGGCACTCAACTCGCATGGTCATATGATGGCTCGATGGCATTGCTGACTAAGACCCACAATCCAGCCTTCCAGTCTTTGAAGACAGATATAAAACGGTGTGAGATATAACATTTGGAGTCACTTTGAAATGTGTCTGGGCATACCTCTGAATGGGCAGATGTGATCTTGTGCTCTATTTTCTCATGAAATCCCATTTATAGTATTCACACCTTTTAGGGCGTATGTATACATCTGGTTTCTATACCCTACGTTGTGGTCTGTCTCGAGTGGTATCTACTGAGGGTGGTACACTTTACTAACTAATTTCTACTAGTGCGTCATGAAAAGAGAGGGGGGGCAGGAGAGAGTGATATCTAGGTGGGCTGTACTTGGGAGAGATGGGTTTGTGGCCTTGGGAGGCCCAAAGGTAGTCGCCTTGGATAGTGGTCGAGTTGTGTGAGGGGGGTTTTCGCAGGGTGTTGTAGATCGGGGATCGCATAGCCATGTGTGGCATCTACGTAGCACTTGCAGAGGTTGTACATTAGTACAGGCTTATGGATGAAAGTGTGTGAGGACTGTCCTCTAGTGTGGAGGTGGGAGGAGACTGTCTGCAAAACATGAATCCTCCCCCTTGCATGCCCGAGGCACCTCATGATGTTGGCTCAAGCTACATTCCACAGGGGAGGAGCATCTTGCCATGGTCTTGTGTCATTTGTTCCTAGGAGTAGGTGTCGTAACATGTGTAGAATACAGTGTTGTGGTTAGTGATGGTCGCACAATTTTCTCTCAAAGGTACTGTTAATCAATGATAGTTGCCTGTGGCAAGGGATGATTATCTGGGGCTCAGTCAAACATCTGCTGTGTTGGTTGCTATATGCAATCACATGTGGTATGTTGTTCTCTACCGTAGGTGTATTGTAAGGGAAGAAAGAAAAATAAAGAACCTTATAAGACATTGTCAACATGTATGTAGCTAAGCATTCACAAAAAAATTGAGTTGAGGAGAGTCGAGAAAGGAAGTCGAAGAATGCCAGTCAGAGCATAGGAAATGACTGATGGAGTAGGTGGTAAACACAGCTAGCTTGTGTTACCAGATTCACATTAAATTGATTCTATGATACCATTTCATAGATTGTAGTATCCTTTATAACATTCTGTCCTTTCTCGCAGGCAAACAGATGTGACAAAATATTGTAGAAAACTGAAGAAAATTCTATGCTCTTTCTTAGGTACTGGAGACGATGGGAGATAGGTACCTGATATCCATCTGATAGACACCTTTGTCTACATACATTTTCTCTTCTGCTCACGGTGTGATTCCTCCAGGTCGTCCACTTCATTAGGCTTCCTTTTAAGACCAACAGCTAATCCAGTCTGCTCCACTATCTCGACATCACTTTCGCATGAATCTGCTGCTACTGGAGGTTGCGTTGCCATCATAATGAACCATTCATTGGAGAGATCAATGATCTCATTCCGAAAAGATGCTCGCAAGCCAGGAACCTCTTCATCGTCCCAAAAAGTCTTCAGATCAATGCCAGTCGGAAGGGTTGAAGTTGACTGATAATGTCTTATGTGAATGAGTTGAGGACAACAGGTGAGAATGATTACCATGACTTTGTAAAATTTGTCAGGATCTGACATGAATTTTGCAGCAAAGTGCATCATGTATAATCCACAGTCAGAAAAGTTTGGTTGTTTGGGTACCTGCTTTTGCGTTAAGCCAGCGATTGGCATGTGTTCTGGAACCTACAGTGACAGTTTGACCAATCGCCTCCATTATATTTTGCAACCCCTTCTTGTCAAAGGCTTCAAGGGCAAGGAATTTCCCTAATTGGCTGGCTTCGCTCCAATGCGAATAACCAAGGGAATTGAGGGTAAAAATAATCGTTCTGGATCGATGTGATTACAATGAACCACACAGTTCTAGTCTGACTTACCTGTGGTCATTGCTTTCGGACAAGTTTTGATTTTCACCGTTTCCAAGGTGTTCTTGATTCGTTAGCAGCGCATATTCAGGATGGCAAATAATGGCGAGGTACCAATGAAGACTATATACGTTGTCAAGTCACAGTTGAAGCAGCTAGGGAGGAAAATTACTCTTCATGCATTGGTATAATCAAGTATTTCTTCTTGAATATGTCAAACTTTGCAGTCCAACGGCAGACGTCTTGGTAATTCCTATGAGAATATATAAGCACGGCTCCCAGTGACGTTGATAAGAGCTCACTTCTGGAACTTTGGGAACCAAAAAGGACTAAAAATAGTAATTTCTTTTGCAACGGAGGGCTTGCCAGTTTGCAGAAGTTCATACGTCAGCCTAAAGATATTTGTAAAAATTGAAACAGGTGGTTTACAAGTCACACACCATAATCCGAGCTCTATGAGATTGTCATTCAAAAATTCTCCAGGTGATAACCGACTCAGATCACTGTTGCTAATATTCGCACCACCTGTCGTAGTCCACGGTGTTGCGACTGCAGCCTATTTATGCGTGTAATTTTGCAATCTAGAGTGTTTTACATGCATACTGAGATATAGTGAGCGAGCAGACTAAAACAACGCGTCGACACTAATGCTACGCGGTGCAATGATATGGAATATAACTTATGGCATAAGAAGCGATGGGATTCTAGACAGGACTTAGTCACAGCACTGTACCTGACGGGCATGTGTGATGAGAAGGCCAAACCCTATACCCAATGCTTTAGGCTCTAACTTACAAGCACACTCGTGGGAGCTAGATAGAACCTTGAAGATTGCACTGACACTGAGAATACTTAGCGCGCTCGCTAACTGTGACACATCGTACCTGAAAATCTGGGGAAATCCTTACGTGAGATGACAGATATCACTGGCACGAGCTTGGGCAATGGGCTTCAGCCGAAGTCCATGAGCCTGCATTCCATTGTTCTGAGTCCCATTGTTCGAAGACTCACTTGTTGCCATGTCTACGAGAAGCCTCTGTGAATCCAAGAAAGAAGTCCTGAACGACATATGCCAGAACTGATAGTTCCGTGCGCCTAGACCTGTCGGTCGCTAGAGAACAAGCCTGCAGGTGTCAGGAGAACACCTCTTGGCATGCGTTTAGCGAGCTCGCTATAGAAATGAGACTAAAACTGGGAAGTCCGACTCGGATGCTCAGTAAGGCGGCGGTGGCAACATGCTATGCATGTAGGAGTCTGGGTACTGCACGACATTTGTAATTCTAATTTCCCTGTAGTATAAGTAGGCTGGTTACAGTAGGTAGAGGCCAAGTTTCGAGCCCCCGAGTTCCCGTGCACGTGTTGAAGGCGGTACTGTAACAAAGGATCAGTTTGTGACTTCGAGCTGTGCATAGAATTAGTGAGCTCACTCAGAAAAATACGAGATACCCTTTTGATAAGACTTTTGAGAACTTAGTCAGAGTGAATATGAATCAGTGACGCTGTTTCTGTTCTGTTAAGTGTGATAAGTCTGTTCGGAGAATGTGTTGAAGTGGAAATCTGAGTTCTGTTCTGTTCTGTTCTGTTTCAATCTGTTCCGTGTCAGTTCTGTTCAAAGTTCCGTTTCTGAATCTGTTTCTGAGCGCTTCTGAAGTGTTCTTGAGTCGAGATAATCTGCTGGAGTTAGTTGGAGAACCCCTACATACAGTTGTGTAGTGAGCGGGCTAAGTCAGTGCTTGCCTGTGGTGTTCTTTTAGCGAGCTCACTGAAGTTTCGGCATGTATTGCCTCTGTTTCTGTTGGGATCAGTGTCCCTTGTGTATTATAACTCAAATCTGCCTTGAAGGTTGCGTCGCACCAGTGAACGACCTTCCTGTAAAAAGTTCCTAGACTTAGGGATTCATTAGAGAAAGCTTAGCTTCGCTAAGAGCGCTGAGAATAAGATAAACTCTTCGAGATATAGAAGTATAGTTGGATCACATTAGAAATAATCGCTCCCCCTAGAACTTACGAGGGTGACTGTAGTTTGTGTAGTTGTGTGAGTGTGTGTGTGGGTTTTTGAGGTTCACCTTTTAGCCTGCTCACTATTCCACAGGTGCCCACAGCCAGCCTCTTCAATGGGTACACTAGTATTCTGCAAGGCATGGGCAAAGATTCGTAACATTGGAGAAGGACAAACAACTCATCAGGATCCTTTGCTTGCAGCTCACCATCAGATGCTGTTTTCGAATTTGCTGAGGCAAGCAAGTTTTTAGGTGATTGCAAAGACTGAAAGTTCAGCAACAAATATATGATTTCTTTTGATGAACTTGATTCATCCTGCAACTGATAAAATAGATGACCGAAGACAGTCAAAATTGAACCTGCCTGGGTTTTGCGCTTGTCCCTTCTTTCGATTCCAGTATGGAATGGTCTCAAAATGGCAGATGGCTTCAGCAGAACAGGGAAATCTGGTTCATCTGGGCTTGAATCTTGTGAACAGTCTTCAGCTACATTATCTTGATCCTCCTCATCTTCTGGAGAGAATCGGAATAAAGGGACAGTTTTTGGCCCTGAGAAACCCTGTGAGAATGAAACAAATTGCAGAATGTGCCAATTTACTCAAGGGCTTATATCTTTGGGTACACATAGCCAATAGGAGTCAAAAGTGATTGATGAATGATAACGATCTTTGATGTGAGCAGTTACTTCATCGGAGTCTGAACTGAGTCTGAATTTCCCATGTGAAAACAATTTGCCTAAAGTCAACACGTTTTGAGGTGCGATGCTGTTGATCTTCCAATTGGTAGTACTTGCTCTGGCTGCCATCCTGTTCTTTACTATGGCTAGAGATTTATCTGTAAAGAATTATATTCCCCTAGTTCCGATTGAACCTAATTTCCAAAACTATAGTAATTAAACACATATGAGCACAGCTACTCTACAAAGGACCATGTGGTATGGAGAATCTCTTATCTAAATGTGGAGTGTCTTCAGAAATTGAGTGTCTTCAAATAAATCAGCAAGTCACCTGTTTCAACCTATTTATGCCAGTTAGCAGTGAACAAGGGGAATTTCATTTTGGACCTAGTATACATAACGACCACAGATTTTGATGCACATATTGCACAATCTATCAAAGTGTTACGGTTTATTCATTTCCT